TAGGGTTTAGGGTTTAGGGTTTAGGGTTTAGGGTTTAGGGTTTAGGGTTACCTAAGCCAAAAGCACTCAACCGCTGAACACGACATTGTCCAGCCCTCTCCCAAGATCTTCGACCCCAGATCCTCGTGGTGGACTCCTAATGTGCTGACGCTGGGTTCTTACCTTGCTCAAGCTTGACAGCAAAAACCTTATCTTGTTCCCATGCGCATCAAAAAAAACCTTTAAGCACTTCAAATCTCTAAGCTCTACCGCTAAGCCCTAACCCTATCCCCTAAAACCCTAAACAAAAAAAAACAAAACTAAAGTCCAAAACCATCCTAAGCTCCAGAATCCTGTAAGCCCCTAGAAACCTAAAACCCAACAAGCCGAAACATTTCGTCTCTTGAAATCCCCTCCCCCGAATATGAACCCCCCCCCCCCCCCCCGCCCCCCCCGCCCCCAATCCCCTAATATCGGATACCCCCCCCCCCCCCCAACATTTTTGCATTATAGTATGGGGAGTATTTAAAATTAGGGGGCAGAGGGGGGGGGGGGTTAATTGGGATGTTCCCGCTTTTACTAACAGTCCTCGATAGGGGACAATTGTACCCCCGATGATAAACCCTATCAAGGACTGTTAACATCCCAAGCCCTAACCCTAAACCCTAAACCCTAAACCCTAAACCCTAAACCGGAACACACACATGACCTAAAACCTTGATTCTAGGGGCAAGGGATTGAGGGACCAAGCCGCGGTTCCGTCGGCGCGGAGCAAGGCAAACGCCCGGCGAGAGGACGCGAGCTGTGGCTTCCTGGTTTGGGGTTTAGGGTTTAGGGTTTAGGGTTTAGGGTTCAGGGTTCAGGGTTTAGGAATTTTGGGTTTAGGGTTTAGTTCAGGGTGAGGTTCAGGGTTTCGTGGTTCAGGGGTGTAGGGGTTCAGGGGTCTAGTGGTTCAGGGCTTAGGGTTTAGGGGTTGAGGGTTTTAGGGCTTTGGGGGGTTTACAAGCGGAACTCACCTTGGGCTGATAGCGATGCCAGGTCTTCTGGTATTGGCAAGGGTACATAAGGGGGTGTGAAGGGTTTGGGGTTTAGGGTTTAGGGCTTGGGGCTTGTAAACCAAGGCTCGTGTATGATGTAGGTTTTTTGCCGAGATGTGGAGCGTGGTCTGATGAGAGTCGTGAATGTAAGACGCAAAATATCTGCACGCGCAGACACAGAGACAGAGAGAGAGAGAGAGAGTGAGAGTGAGTGAGGGAGAGGGAGAGAGTCAGAGGGAGAGAGGGAGAGGAAGAGAGCGAGAGAGAGTGCGAGAGAGAGAGAGAGGAGGGAGGGAGGTCGGGAGGGAGGGTTTAGGGTTTAGGGTTTAGGGTTTAGGGTTTAGGGTTTAGGGTTTAGGGTTTAGGGTTTAGGGTTTAGGGTTTAGGGTTTAGGGTTTAGGGTTTAGGGTTTAGGGTTTAGGGTTTAGGGAGGGAGAGATCTGAAGCCCACTCCGAAAGTGTAGGGGAGTTTTGGGTTTGTAAAGGGCCCTCACAGCACCAAACTCCGTTTCCAGTAGGTGGCCGCAGCGCTCAAGCCAACTTTTGCATGCCATACACTTCGGGTGCATCGCACCAGCCCGCTTCCTCGCAAGCCTAAACCCTACACCCTGAAGCCCGTCAACTCAACCCCCCCCCCCCCCCCCCGCACCCCCGCCCCCAACTTCAGGTGCTATGTTGAGAAAGATCGGGCGTGCTGATATTTGGGGCCTTTCAGTTCTGTATGGCTGTAGGGTTTAGGGTTTACGGTTGCGGTGGCTTTGCTCAGGATTTAGGGTCTGGGGCTGGGGCTTGGGGGGTTAGGGTTTAAGATTTCGGGGGTTGAGGCCTTAGGGGTTCTTCAGACTGAAAGGGTTAGGGCGTCAGGGATTCAGGTTTAGGGTTTAGGGTTTAGGGTTGAGGGTTTACGGTCGCCTCACGATCGCTGCCAGCACGGTGCCGTCGTGCAGGTGCGCATCTTGGATGCTGCTTCTTCCATGTAGGGCTGCGCCAGTGTCAGGGACCAGCCTTGGTTTAGGGTTTAGGGTTTAGGGTTTAGGGCTTCGGGGTTTAGGGTTTAGGGTCAGACTTCGTAATTGGAAGCCCTAATACCCTGGGTGTAGGGAAACAGGAGCCCTTAAAAGCAAGGCCGAAGTATCGGATACATCTCCTTTGGCCAAGAGGTTCCCCCCAAACCCGTCCTCTTAAAGGCCCCAAACCCCCATAAAACCTATAAAATCGGCAAACCCTGTAAGAGCCAAAAATAAATAAATATATACGTATATATTGCACTACAACCCCCATAAACCAAAAGGGTAGACCCTACAAACAAGGGACCATACTTCAGAACCCCTTAAAGGAGCTTGGGGACCACAAAAAGGGACCAGGCAACCCTGAACCCTAAAAATCCCTCAACTCTAAATCCTGAACCCTAAACATATATTCAGGGACCGCGTAGCGGTTTAGGGTTTAGGGTTTAGGGTTTAGGGTTTAGGGTTTAGGGTTTAGGGTTTAGGGTTTAGGGTTTAGGGTTTAGGGTTTAGGGTTTAGGGTTTAGGGTTTAGGATTTAAGGTTTAGGGTTTAGGCACATTTAGAGAAAAGCCCTTACGGCCCCAAAAGCATGCCTGGGCGCAGTTGGCTGATGCCCACGCCGAGCTCCTGGCTGCTACTTGGCTTAAGGGTTTCAGGGCTGAAGGGTTTAGGGTTTAGGGTTTAGGGTTTAGGGTTTAGGGCTTAGGGTTTAGGGTTCTGCGGTTGAACGATTTAGGGGTTTGAGAGTTTACTTTGGGGGATTCGAGGCTTAAGGGCTTAGGGGTTAAAGTGTTTGGGCGAGTTATCCCAGGGTTTGTGATGTTTGGGCCATAATCACCATGCTCCCCCAGTAACCTTGGTACCCTTTCTTGATTCAGGGGCTTAAATGGGCCCAGAACCATGAATAAGTGAGGAAAGGTATGTAGGGTTCAGGGTGAAAGGCGCTAAAGACGGATCCACGCTCACCTTATGCCCCTTCCAGCTGACGGATGCATTCTGCAGATCTAGAGGCAGCCCCGTGGGCCACCCCAGAACCGAAAGTTCAGGGTTACAGGTTCCGGGGTGAACATTCAAGTACACGGTGCCTGCTCAAGACTCCTAGGATCTTGGTAACTTCATATGAAGTAGGTTTTGAAAAAAAAGCATTCCAAAAGGGCGTATACACCAAAAACTATAGGTACCCATTATATTCATTATATACACCCACCAAGAGCAGCAATATAGACCCTCCCTCAACACCCCTGATATACCCTTTATAAGCCCAAGAGCTCTCAGACCCTCTAGAACAAACAGGGGACCATCGTGAAGGAGTGTCAAGACACCCTACACCCCTAACCCCTGAACCTTGAACCCCTAAACCCCTAAACCCTAGCCCCTAAGCAGGCTCGGCGACCATGCAACCCGAAACCCGAAACCCTAAACCCTAAACCCAAGTGCTTTCTTTGTGCAGCCCTGACACTCTTTGCGCCCGCTGCCTCAGGGCATCAACCGTCGAGTCCAGTGACACTTCCTGAGGGTTCAGGGTTTAGGGTTTTAGGTTGTCACCCTAAACCCTAAACCCTAAACCCTAAACCCTATGGTGGTAGTGGCCGGCGGGTGTAGTTCTGGGTCCAGGCACTGCACCCTAGAAGAGGGTGGGTACGGCCTAAGCAGGCCTGGGCGGGAATTTAGGGTATTCAGGTTTAGAAATTTAGCGGATGCTGCACTCTGAATCTGGGCTTTAGGCCGATAGGGTATAGGGCTTAGGGCTTAGGGTGTAGGGCGTTCAGGACCCCTACCCTTCAGTACTACAGCAACCCTGACCCTGAAGCCTACTGATCCCTGAAGATGCACCATGGCGTGAAATACACAAACAGAAACGAAGCTGTACCGAACGGGAGGGTTTAGGGTTTAGGGTGTAGGGTTTCGGGTTTAAGGTTTAGGGTTTGATCGAAATTCAGAAAGGCTTCGGCAGTCACAGAACGGCCGCTGAGAAGCGCGACGGAGATGTGCATGCGGCTTCTGTTGCATCACTCAAGAGGCCCCGTGTGTTTGTGAAGGGTTTAGGGTTTAGGGTTTAGGGTTTAGGGTTTAGGGTTTAGGGTTTAGGGTTTAGGGTTTAGGGTTTAGGGTTTAGGGTTTAGGGTCTAGGGTCTAGGGTTTAGGGTTTAGGGTTTAGGGTTTAGAGTGGCATGCATGGATGTGGGGCTGTGTGGTAACCGTAAAGCCTCAACCGACACAGAGTCAAGCGAGGACTCATGTATCCCTTCACCCCAAGCTGTTCCGAACGCCCCAGCTATACTCCCCTTAGACCTTTAATAATTTTCATGTTTAATATCCTCTTGGGTTTTATACAAACAAAAATGTTAAAAAGAAATGAAAATAAATCCCAAGGGGGATATAGCCAGCAACAGGCACAGCAGACAACGATAATGGGCCAATGGCCTTGCAAATGGCGGCGGCAAGTGCACGCAGAGCTTGCGAATGAGGGAATGTCGTCTTGGGTTCAGGGTTTTGGGCCTCAAAGCCTCCCCCTAAGCCCTGGCGATTTATAGGGTCGAGAACCTCACCCCGAAACCCCAAAACCGTAAATCCTGGAAGCTAAACACCTCACAGCCAAAAACAGCCCTCCAACCCTCAGATTCTGGGGTCCTTAAGTCAAAGAAGCAAAGGGAGCCAAACTCACGCGTGGTTTAGGGGATGTTGGAATACCCACCCCCCTCCTAGACCCCACCTTCTTTCAGGACCCTATAAGCAGAACTGACACTGAGAGGGTTTAGGGTTTCGGGAGGGTTTAGGGAGGCTTAGCAAGCAAACATCTGCCCATGGTTTTTCCGATGTTTGCCACGCTTCAGAATTCACCCACTTGGCCATCTAGGCGAGTTAGGAAAAATGTTAAACGCTACGGTTTCGGGCTTAGGGTTTAGGATTTCGGGTTTAGGGTTTCGGGTTTAGGATTTGGGGTAAAGGGTTTGGGGTTTAGGAGGTATTTCGGCCTGCAATCGGTTTCGCTGAACCGCCTCCGAGAGCTTCTCAAAGAGCTGCGCCTTGCGAAAGAAGCTTAAGGGGAAATGCTAGCTAGTTTGTTTAAGGTTTAGGGTTTAGGGTTTCGGCTTTAGGGTTTAGGGTTTAGGGTTTAGGGTTCACAGTACACAACTCAACCAAAAGGGCACCTGCTAAGCTTAACAAAACTCAGAACCTTGCGCACCCAGACCTCCGCAGACTACATGGCACTTCCTCGAACCCAAAGCGCCACAATGCTTCCTGCCCTAAATCCCCCCAAACAAACCCTGAGCCCTAAACCCTAAACCCTAAACCCTAAACCCCTAAACCCTAAACCCTAAACCCTAAACCCTAAACCACGAAACAAACCAAGTGTTGAAGCACTAGAAGCCGGGTTTAGGGTGAAGCCAGGGTTGAGATTTAGGGATTGAGGTATAGGGTTTAAGGTTTAGGGCTTGGGGTTTACGGTTTACGGGCCTAGGGCTTAGCAGCAGAGCCGCTGACTGACACAGCTGGGACGATTTGGGCTTCCTAAATCCTAAGACCTTTACCCTAAACCCTGAACCCTGAACCCTGAACCCTGAACCCTAAACCCTAAACCCTGAACCCTGAACCCTGAACCCTGAACCCTGAACCCTGAACCCTGAACCCTAAACCCTAAACCCTAAACCCTAAACCCTAAACCCTAAACCCTAAACCCTAAACCTTGACTTGCTACGTGCCCAGAAGCCACAAAGCCCTAACATCCAAAATGCAGCCTTGCCTGCCGAACATGCTTCTCCTTGTCCTGGAAGGAGATCCGGGTGTTTGGGGTGGGGGGACTAATTTTCGTTTGAATTCGCATTTTGAAGCTAGGCTGCCCAGTAACCAAGGCTTAAACAGGGTGCCCTTTTTTGCTTAAAGGGGTTTATAAGGGAACCTAAACCCCCCAAAAAGGGAATAAGGGTACTACTGGGCATCCTAGGAAGGCTTATAGGGGCTTATGAAACAAAATCCACGGGTTTAGGGGTGGGGTTTAGGGTTTTGGTAACCGAGACGCAGTCCAGTGTTCAGGGTTTAGGGTTAACTTCAGGGTCAAATCCTAAACCTAAACCTATGTCCTTCCGTGTTCCGCGTTTCAATCCCCCCTGCCCACCACCAGAACCCATTCTCCGAACCCTAAACAGGCCCTAAGCCCCAAAACCCAAGAACCCCTGTCACTGCGGCAGGGTCAAACTCACAAGGGCTCCCTCGTAGCGGTCTATTGCGGGGTTAGGAGATCTTTAACATAATCAACGCTGAATCGCCAAAAACAGACCCTAAACACGTGCCCGGGAAATTCTGAAAATGAGACATGATGACCCCATGTGCTGCCCTTATAAGGAAGAATGTTCTGTTTTTTTTGGGGGGGTTCTAAAGCAAATTGTGGGAGTTGTTCATTCCCAGGCTTTCAGGATCATACGGGTAGAAGGCCCCATAGAGTCTTCTTCTCGGAGGGCTGCTTGCAACAGACAGAACATCCCAACCTAGAGCAGCCAGGCTAGAAGTCGCGACTGCAGCCTTGATACTCTTGCCTGTGCTGCAACCCTAGTCCCTGCCCCCTAATATTGAACACCCCTTACCCCTAATATTAAATACCACCCATATACTAAAGTATAACAACTTTGGGGGGGTATTCAGTATTAGGGGATAGGGGGTGTGTAACAGTAGGGGGAAGGGATGAAGCGCTAAACCCGACGGCGCAAGCCCAGGTCTGGTGGTTTGGAGGGGTTTCGGGTGGACCCTAAACCCTAAACCCTAAACCCTAAACCCTAAACCCTAAACCCTAAACCAACCTCGAAACTTAGTTGCTGAGTTCATGAGCCCCGAAAAAACTGCACACTTCCAGCTCTAGAGGGGATTTTAGTATCCCAAAAAAGTGTAAAGTGGGCTCACTCAGCTACTAAGTGTGAACCCTTCACATGCCAAAATCCCTAAGCTGATAGCCGACCATTCGACTCCGCACCCGACACCCTGTAGGGTGGAAGGTCTACTTCCCAAACCCTAAAGCCTAAAATGCTATGACCCTATAAAACCTAGAAGCCCCAGATGTAAAGCCTATACACCCTCACCCCAAACCCTAAACCCCAAATCCTAACCCTAAACCCTAAACTGCCCTAAACCCCAAAAATCGCAGCTCTCGCCTCCAGGGAGCAATCGCTGAAAGTGTCGCATCCCTGGGCATTTTCCAGGGCTGCGCGCACCACCTGGTCCGGTTCAGGAGTTGCAGTTTGCGGTTTAGGGTTTGGGGCATTTATGGCTTAGCGTTCCGGGCTTAGAGTTTCGGGTTTGAGTTCACAGGGCTATATGTCATTTCTGACTGACACTGGGCCCTGTTGCATTGCTGAGATTCACAAGAGGCACGCAAGCGAAATTAACGCAAACAGCACGCGCAACTTGCAACGAGAAACGCGAATCCCCAAACACTGTGTGCAAGGCGCATAAGCCTAGGCAACACACTAAAGTTGAAATCTTGAACGCCAAAGCAGACCCTAAACTACACGAATCTCGGGTCTCATTCGTAAGACAGATAAAGACAGATAGTGCAACTGCTGCAACGAACATCTGGTCGGGGGCGCTCTCTCTCTGCTGTTTGCGCCCGGCTTTGCAGGAAGCGCAAAGCAGCGAACATCACAGCAGTTCTTGGGCTTGTAGGTTTGGGGTGCAGGTACAGATCGGGGGACCTGCGAAGTATAAGTATCGATATTTCTAAGGAGGGTCATTAAGTAGGATAATTCTAACTGGGCATACCTGGACCTGTAGCTCTACCAACTGACTAAGTAAATCCCCTGATCGACTCCACGTAGACGTAAAGCCTAAAAACCCGAAACCCTAAACCTTGGTTCTATAGGGAATACTGAACTCCGTGGACCCTTCAGAGAAGAACTCAAGCTTTAGAGTTTGTAAAACCCTAAACCCTAAACCCTAAGCCCTAATCCCTAAGCCCTAGACGTTTTGAGGGGGTCTGGCAGTCCCTGGCCCGCAGGAAACCTAAATCTGAGTTTATGCGAGGGGGGTCATTACATTGTAGGGTCCTTACGGGAGCGGGGTTCAAGGGGGGCATAGAGCTTGGGGGTTAGGGTTGGGTGTAGGGGTAACCCAAACTTCCCCCAATGCTTCCCACTACTCCCTGAGGCTCCCTAAGCTTCGCTAAGGTTCCCTACTACCCCCCGCTGCTGGGTTTACTGGTTTCGGGTTCGGGTTTGGGGTTCTGGCAGATGAGAATACCAAGACCGCCTCACGACACTTGTCGCTTTGGAGATCAGACAGGTTTCCTGAGCCCTACCAGTAAAACCAAGAACCTAGAAAACACCAAAAGCCCGAGAACTCAGCAACTTCCTGAAACCTTGAACCCTCAACAGAGAACCCCACACAACACATCCCAACCCCAAAAGTCCCTGAAGGGCCCTCAGCCCTAGACAAGTATTTGTTTAAGAACCTCTTCTCTAAAAAAAAACGAAAATGAAAAAGGAAAACAATTCCCGGATTACCCTTTTAGGGTAGAATATAAAAAGAGGGGTTCAAGGATCAGGACAAACTGGTTTACGTCTCCTTTCGGGTTCAGGGTTTAGGGTTCAGGGTTCAGGGTTTAGGGTTTAGGGCTTTAGGGCTTTAGGGCGTAGGGCTTAGGGCTTAGGGCTTAGGGTTTAGGGCTTAGGGCTTAGGGCTTAGGGCTTAGGGCTTAGGGCTTAGGGCTTAGGGTTTAGGGTTTAGGGTTTAGGGTTTAGGGTTTAGGGTTTAGGGTTTAGGGTTAGGGTGCTGGCACCACAGCTCCAGCAAGCCAAGCGCCACGGGCCACGAGGGCGGCTGTGTGCAGGATGTGGGCGTTGTGTTTCGGGGCCCTCATAAAGATGCCAGGTTTAGGGTTTAGGGTTTAAGGTTTAGGGTTTAGGGCAGTAGCCACAATCGTGGCCGCTGTTGGATTTGAAGCCCAGGCATCTGGGGCAATTCTGCATCCTCTGGATGACCGTGCGACAGCTGTCGCAGATTCAATGGGGCTTTTGCCCTAAACCCTAAACCAAACCCTCAACCCTAAACCCTAAACTTTAAACCCTAAACCCTAAACCCTAAACCCTACACCCTACACCCTAAACCCTAAAGCCTAAATACTTTTTAATGGGTTTTCTCTCGTCGACCCAAGCACTCAAGGCCTCCTTGGCTTGGGTGAGCTGTAGGAAAAGGTCATGATGACCCCTTGCATCGGGGTTTAGGGTTTAGGGTTCAGGGTTTAGGGTTTAGGGTTTGGGGTTTAGGGCTTGGGTTTTAGCTTACGCAACAAACCCTACAACCGACCCCTTCACGCACAAAACAGACACGCCGGAGGTGCCCCTCGAAACTGGCCCCAAGCCCAGCCCAAAAGGGGGTGCCAGCATGGCTTAGGGTTGAGGGTCTACAGGGCTTAGGGTTTAGGGAATTTGGGCTTTAGGGTTTAGGGTTTAGGGTTGTCCACTTCAAGAACAGGACAGCGACACCTGACGGTCGCCCGATTCGACAGCTGCCTTGCAGAAGGCGCGGTAAACATTTTCTTAGTTCTGGGTTTAGGGTTTAGGGTTTAGGGTTTAGGGTTTAGGGGGGTCATAAGCCCCCCAAAGTGTACACTTTCAGCTCTATAGGGGATTATCGTATCCCAAAAAGTGTAAAGTGTACTCCGAAGCCCTACACGGACTCCCAAAGTACGCACAAAAAGAAAAAGCCCCAAGGGCCATTATTCTACATATTTTGGGGGTTAGGCAAGCCCCCAATCCCTAATGTCGCTCATCTCTAAACACTGTGAGACCTACAATCCCCAGACCCTTTTTCTGTCAGGGTGTGGGCTGAAGCACCTACAAGCCTAGCAACCCTACAAGTTTAGGGCTTAGAGCTTTGGGGTTTGCGGTTTAGTTTAGGGTTGAGGGTTTTAGGGTTCTAGGGTTCTAGGCTCTCAGGGTTTAGGGTTTGTAGGTTTAGGCGACACTGGCTACCACGTCGGAAGTTTTCATTGGCCATCCCAGCTTGTTGAGCCCTCCACCGGGTCTTGTTCTGGGTGTTCTGAGTCGTATACACACAGCCCGAAACTCTACGTCTACGCACGCCCTGATGCACCCTAAACCCTACACCCTAAAACCCTAGAACCCCTAATACCCCAAACCCTAAAAACCAAAACCCTAAAACCCTAAACCCTAAAAAGAAAAGTATGACCAGGCCTGGAGGAGATCTTGCGCCGAAGCCAGTTGCAAGATCTGCTCCCCCTTCGCGATGCTACCTGAATTTCTGGTTCTGGGTTTAGGGTTTAGGGTTTAGGGTTTAGGGTTTAGGGTTTAGGGTTTAGGGTTTAGGGTTTAGGGTTTAGGGTTTAGGGTTTAGGGTTTAGGGTTTAGGGTTTAGGGTTAGGGCCTAGGGCTTGGGGCTGAGGGTATATAGGGGGATACAAGGTGCCCAGGAAGGGATTTTATCCAATACACCCTAAACCCTAAACCATGGGTCTCGACCAAAAACCCGTCAGCCTGGGGAGCTCTGGGTTTCTGGGTTTCGGGGTTTCTGGGGTTTAGGGTTTAGGGTTTGGGGTTTAGGGCTAATCCCCTCCCCCTAGTATTAAACGCCCCCCCCCCCCCCCCCACAATAAAAACTCGAAATGTGTGTTTATTATTAGGGAGTATTGTTATCGAAATGTCATAAGGGCTCTAAACCCTAAACCCTTAACCTAGACCCCCAACCCTAAACCCACTGAGGGTTTTATTGGTGTTGAGGGGTTTATTGGAGGCCTGAACCACCCCTCTAGTTCGGAATAGGGTTCAAATGGCGGGATCGGTTTCGGCAGGATTTTCCGGAAAGTGTTTCTTTATCACTAGGGGGGGGGGGGGGCATTTAATAAAAGGGGGAAGGGATTAAGGTTTTGGGGTTTAGGGTTTGGGGTGAGTCAATGCTCATGCAACAGGGCAGGCAGACATATCAATTTGTCAGAAGACTGAGCACTGTTTGCTTGCTGTGTGCACAATAACCAGGTATGTGGAGTTTACGCAATAGTAGGATCCCTAAAAATAAGGACCCCAATAAAATACCCCTAATTTCGGCAACTGCCCTGTTGACAACAGATGTAAGAAGGCAACGTGAGATGCGCCCGAAACCTTCTCAACCCCCTCAACCCCCTGAGAGACCCCAAAAAACCCAAAAACTCAAAAACCCAAAAACCCAAAATCCCAAAATCCCCAAATCCCAAAAATCCAAAAAAACAAATCACAAAATCCCAACAACCCAAAAACCCTTAAACCCAAAAACCCTTAGACCCAAAAACCCGAAATCCCAAAAACCCTGGACCATCCTCCGGGCCCCTTGCGGGGGTCGATGCCCAAGCGCTTGGCGTTGCTAAGGGCCTGAGGGCCGCGATCCCAGAGACGGAGGAAGGAATGGAAATGACCAGGGTTGACTGGGTTGAGGGATTGAGGGGGAGGGAGCGGGGGGGGGGCGGAACCCTAAACCCTAAGCCCTATTCCCTAAACCCTAAACCCTAAAGCCTAAACCCTAAACCCTAAACCCTAAACCCTAAACCCTACACCCAAAACCCAGTCCTGTGCTATAAATGAAGAGAAAGAAAGGGCGAATAGAATACTAATATCTTGTTTAATTCGCCCGTGTTTCGTTCTCACCCTTTATTATTGTATATCACGCACTCACTGCGTTCATTTGTAATCCAATAAAAGGAGTGCGTGAGAACTACACCATTAGTATTATAGTATTAATATTGCCCGGGGGCCTCTTTAAACGTAGTATATTCTGCCCCTGGTAAGCATTATAGTAAAAGTTAAGAGAAAGAGGGAACAAGATTATAAGTGCACGAAGTAAGCGCATGAATCTTGTGAGCGATTGAACGAAACAACATTAGGAACGAAGTGAGAGATAAAAGACTAGAAAGATAGCTAAAGTATTAGGGCTCATCAGGGAACAAACTTCGAACACCGATTGCAGGGTTCCAACTCCGAGTCCTCTTGGCTGACTTCTGAACCCCTCCTAGAAGCTTCACTTTTAGGCTCCTTATTGTAGGTTCTACCTAAACCCTAAACCCTAAACCCTAAACCCTAAACCCTAAACCCTAAACCCTAAACCCTAAACCCTAAACCCTAAACCTCGCGCCCCAAAAGCCAAGTTCTGGCTTGGTGATTAGAGGATTCGGGTCAGAAGGTGGAGGGCCCCCCGAGCCCGAAACCCTAGACTCAAAGGGCGTAGGGTGCAGGGTTTAGGGTTTGAGGGTTTAGGGCGGGCTGAGGACTCCAAACCTCCGCGCCCCTTGACCAAGGACCCATACTTCAGAACCCCTGAAAGAAGGTATTGGACCACGGGACCATGCAATGACTCTTTGACCCTGAACCCGAAACACTCTCAACACCCTAAACCCTAAACCACCGAGAGTCACCCCTACTCCCCCCCCCCTCCCTCCCCCCCCCCATCCCCCCCCCCTCCCCCCCCCCCACCCCCCACTCCCCCCCATCCCCACCCCCCCCCCCAGCCCCCCCCCCTCCCCTCCTCACCCCCTCCTCCCTCCCCCCCCTTTCCCCCCCCCCTCCCCCAACCAAACCCGAAACCTAAACCCCAAACCCTAAACCTTAAACCCGAAAACTTAAGCCTATGAGCCCCGACCCTCATAAGTCCTCTGCCCCAAAGCCCTTAGCAACAAAAACAAAAAACCATGTCTTGGTACCCCAGTAACCACATTATAATGAGGGCACCCCTTTTTTTGGTTGGATAATTTATAAGGGAACCTTGAACTATAATATGAGGGCACCCTTTTTTGGTTGGTTAATTTATTAGGGTTTAGGGTTTAGGGTCTAGGGTAAAAAGGAAAAAGGAACCACTGGGCTACCCAGATGTTGGCCCGAGATTCAACAGGGAGGCATTCCAGCAACAGCGACTTTCGCCGCACCTGCCCCCAACACCACAGCTTGGGGCTTAGGGTTTAGGGTTTAGGGTTTCGGGTTTGGGGTTTAGGGTTTAGGGTTTAGGGTTTGGGGTTTAGGGTTTAGGTTTCGCAATGGTCGGGAGTTCCAATGTTTTCTTTGTGCGACCTGGAGCAGCACATCTGGCGAGATGTGCCCAGTGTCTCTTCCACTACAAGGAGGGTTTAGGGTTTAGGGTTTAGGGTTTAGGGTTTAGGGTTTAGGGTTTAGGGACACCCTACAAGAGACACCCCCTCCGCCCCCCCAGTCATATGCAGGTTCAAAGCACTTCTCAAACAGTTACAAGTTACAAGTATTCTAAAGAACTAGATAGTTGGTATAGCAAAGGGGGCCCCTGCTTGTGCGCTGCTTGGCCCTGTCTGCCACAGTATGGCGAAAGGGAAATCATTCTTCGCCTTTATTCAAGGCATCATTGGTGCCCGTTTGAACAACGACATCTCACGTGATCCCTTGATATCGCCAGGAAAATTAGCAAACATAAATTCTCCAGGTAAGGGCTACTTACAACGACGGCTGGACAGTCAACGACCAGTTTATTCTCACGGGGCCTCGCTGGGAGTTATCTTGAAGAATCGAGGCTTTTCGGCACTTTTCGGGGATTTCTTGAAGAATCTAGGCTTTTCGGCACTTTTGGGGGGTGTGGTTTCCAGGGACGCGTTTTGCCCATCTTGCCGAGAGCCTAGACCTTCTAGATTCTTTGATGTCCTTCAGTCTGCCTTGTTTAGGACAGATGACTACTATTTGCTTTTGGTCCCCCCCCCAAAAAAATGAAAACCGTACTAATTGCCCTTATAAGGCGGACCATTCAAATTTTTGGGGGGTTCCTAAGCAATTGGTAGATGAAGATCTGCGTTCAATATGAGTGCGTAGATCGCTGAAACTGCTCACCACATTTACTTGGGACAGATGCAGCCGGGTCCAGAAACCCTGAACATTAACACCCCCTACACATAAGGCAACACAAGGAGACTGTCTCTTCACCCTAAACCCTAAACCCTAAACCCTAAACCGTCAACCCAACACTCTGAAAAGGAATCCAACATCTTCGTGCTTGCAAAACTGCGGCGCCTCATATCCTGCCTTCCTCCGGGACTCCTAACGTACATAAGCAAAGCCTCTGATCTAGGGCTCTGGTGCTGAGGGTTTAGGACTTAGTGGGTTTAGGGTTTGGGGTTTAGGGTGGGTCTAAATCCCTGCTGAGGGTTTAGGACTTAGTGGGTTTAGGGTTTGGGGTTTAGGGTGGGTCTAAATCCCCATACCTTACCTACTGCTACTGGGAACTGGTGCTGACGGTGACTTTGATGGTGGTGATGACGGTGATGGCGTGACCCATGTGCCCGTAATATGCCCTGCAAAATCTGAGAAATCTCAAAAAAACCTGGGTACTAAACCCTAAACCCTCAGCACCAGAGACCTAGAGAGTCTCACGCCTGGCTCAACATCAACAACCCTTCGTGAGCCCTAAACCCTAAACCCTGAACCCTAAACCCTAAACCCTAGACCCTAAACCCTAAACCCTAAACCCTGAACCCTAAACCCTAAACCCTAAACCCTAAACCCTAAACCCTAGAACCCTAAACCCTCAACATCAACAACCCTTCGTGAACCGCATCCCTACAATTGCAGCCGCGTGCACTTGCAGAAGCTCGTGAAGTCGAGACGCCGCGGCTGCCTATGGCTTTAGGGTTTAGGGTTTAGGGCTTGAGCCCCCCAGCTGCAGAACCCTAAACCCACACACAGGCCCTGGATTGAAACCCGAATGTGTGCTCGGAGGTTCATGGGTAGTTTTAGGGTTTAGGGTTTAGGGTTTAGGGTTTAGGGGTTAGGGTTCAGCGGTTGAACGATTTAGGGGATTGAGAGTTTACTGTGGGGGATTCGAGGCTTAAGGGCTTAGGGGTGGGGTTCTTCAGACTGAAAGGGTTAGGGCGTCAGGGATTCAGGTTTAGGGTTTAGGGTTTAGGGTTTAGGGATTAGGGTTTAGGGTTTAGGGCCTACCTTGTGTCCGAGTTGAGTATCAGGTTAGTGTGGGGGGGCTTCATGGAAGTCACCGCGGGATGGCATCATCACTGCAAACCCTAAACCCTAAACCCTAAACCCTAAACCCTAAACCCTAAACCCTAAACCCCAAACCCCAAACCCCAAGCCCCAAACTCGACTCCCTGATCCCTAAAACCTGAGGCGGCTGAACCCCATAAACCCCATAATTCCGAACAACCCTCACAGCCCAAAAGTTGGCATGTTCCCCCTTATACTACCAGACCTTGATACCCCCGATTACAATCCCTACTAATGTTAGTACAAGGGGGAACATCCCAACTCAACTCCCTCTAGATGCAAGCCCTACGAACCATCTAAAGCCCCCAATCCCCCGAAAATCCAACTCTTACGGCACTCCAACCCTATAAACCACTAAACAAAACATAAACCCTTTCGGGTTTAGGGCTTAGGGTTCAGGTTTTAGGGTTTAGGGAAACCCTAAACCCTAATCCCTAATCCCTAAACCCTAAACCCTAAACCCCTTTTAGCCCTAGGCGACCTGCTCTTCCAGAAACTGCAGCTTCGCGCGCGCCATCGTGAGCCGAAAGCTGTGGAGGTGGTCCGGAGCTTCGGCAACCTTTAGGGTTTAGGGTCAGGGTTTAGGGTTTAGGGCTTAGGGCTTAGGGCTTGCGGTTTAGGGCTTAGGGTTTAGGGCTTAGGGTTTAGGGTGTTAGGGTGTTAGGGTGTTAGGGCTACCCTGAACCCTAACCCTAAACCCTAAACCTCCTGAACAAAAACAAGCAAATGCGCCTAAAGGAGGCAGTAGGGCTTTCGGGTTTATGGGGTCTATACTGGTTATATGGCTCTTTAGGGTTTAGGGTTAGGGTTTGGTTTATAGGTCTACAACGGTTATATGGATCCATCCAGACATGGGGAAGAGCTGCTCCTTCGGAATCCTAAATCCTAAGCCCTAAACCCTAAACCCTAAACCCTAAATCCTAAACCCTAAACCCTAAACCCCGGAAGGTTGTTCACATGCGCCCGAAGCCAGAAACCTGTGTACCACGCTCAACAGCGTTTGCTGGGGCCCAAAGTCCCGACATAGGAGGTACTTCAACGCCCAAGTCTTCGCTATTTAGGTACATGGACCCCTAGGGCTACCCCTAAACCCTAAACCCTAAACCCCAAACCCTAAACCCTAAACCCTAAACCCTAAACCCTAAACCCTAAACGTTCAAAGCTGGCCCCAGGTACTTTGAGGCCCAAGTATTCCCTATTTAGGTACATGGACCCTTAAGGGAAGCTTGTTGAGTGTTTGAGTGTGAACGGGAGATCCGTGAACAAGGCGCCCTCAATCACCCACCCTGAAGCCCCCTAACTACATAGGCTTCCGGGTTTTATGGTTGCTAAACCCTAAACCCTAAACCCTAAACCCTAAAGCCTAAAGCCTAAACCCTAAACCCTAAACCCTAAACCCTAAACCCTAAACCCTAAACCCTAAACCCTGAACCCTGAACCCTGAACCCTGAACCCTATAAACCCTAAACCCCAAAGATTTAGGGTGGGCTGAGGGTTGCTCAGGGCGGGGGGGTATTCGTACTCAGGGGTTTCAGGATTTCCGCGGGGTTCTAAGCCTCAAGGGCCCCAAAGCTCTCACGAACTGAAGTCCAGGGCGCATAGACGACCTCCATCTCCTTGATGATGCTACGTAGTCGCGGAGGGTCCTTTTGGCCGACAGCCTCCATCCTCGGAGCAAGCTTTGAGCTGTGGCGCGCGAGGTCGAAAGGTTTAGGGAAGGTTTCCCCCTCTTCCATTCTGTGCATATCCCTAAGGATCCATGTGTCAAAAAGGGGAAAACTTTGAATGTTTAGGGTTTAGGGGTAGCCCTAAGGGTCCATGTACCTAAATGGACTACTTTTGCCTTAATAAACTACGTCCTCAATAGGGACTCTGGGGCCCAAGCATATAACAACAAGGTACATGGACCCTAATAGGGTATGGGCCCAGCCCCGGAGTAACTTCACTTAGGGTTTAGGGTTTAGGGTTTAGGGTTTAGGGTTTAGGGTTTAGGGTTTAGGGTTTAGGGTTTAGGGTTTGGGGTTTAGGGTTTAGGGTTTACGGTTTAGGTTTTTGCCCTTAGCCGTACACCCTGCACCAATAAGTTGCCCTAAGCCCCTAAACTGCGTGGGCTTGTGGAGTTGGGTCCCTAAACCCAAAACCCTAAACCCCAAACCCTAATTATAAACCCTAAACCCTAAACGGGTTGAGGGTTTTAGGGTTTCGGAGCTGTGGGCTTTTAGGGTTTGACCATGGAAAAGTGTAAAAATGATGGGAAAAGGATACAGGCGCACTCCCTGAGACCTCTAATCCTACTCCCACGATGTACCGACTAGGATGCCAGTTGAGGCTTCAGGGTGCAACCCCACATACCCTAAACCCTAAACCCTAAACCCTAAACCCTAAACCCTAAACCCTGAACCCTGAACCCTGAACCCTGAAAACCCTAAACCTACAAACCCAATAACCCCTTTCAGACCTCCTAAGACCTACTCCCGAAAGGTCCCAATCCCAAGCCCTCTACCCTACGATGACCCTGAAGGGATATAAGCAGGGACCAGTAGAAAAGACCCTTAATCTTATTCCCGTACAGAACCCCTATATATGAATACATACATATATATATATAATATCTTATAGACCTGATAGAGTCCTCATGTACCTAAGTAGCCCCTACATTACCCTAAGGTCCCTACCCTAAACCCCAAACCCTAACTAAACCCTGTGAACCCTCCTTTGGTTCCTGAAAATTTCCTAATTAACCTTACAGGGCAACTACTCTGCTCCTCCGGCGAGCGACAGCGATTCGTGGAGCCTTCGCTGGTACTCCATCCTGGTGGATTTTAGGGTTGAGGGTTTAGGGTTTGGGGTTTAGGGTTTAGGGTTTGGGTTTTAGGGTTTGGGGTTCAGGGTTTTGGGAGGTTTCAGGGTTTTGGCCTTGGGTTTTAGGGCTCATGGCTTTGGATTTCTGGGTTTAGGGTTTAGGTTTAGGGTTTAGGGTTTAATTAGGGTTTAGGGTTTAGGGTTTGGGGTTTAGGGTTTAGGGTTTAGGGTTTAGGGTTTATAGGGTTTAGGGTCAAATGCAGGCAACCAATCCTTTTGGGTTTCAAACGAGGTCGCGGGCCGCGAGCGAAGCGTTGCTTCGGATCCCACCCTCAATCAGGGTGTGAGGTTTAGGGTTGAGGGTTTAGGGCCCCAAGCCCTCCTCAAAGGGGCTTCCTTCACCCTAAACCCTAAACCCTAAACCCTAAACCCTAAACCCTAAACCCTAAACCCTAAACCCTAAAGCCTAAATGTAAACCCTAAACCCTAAACCGTAAACCCCTAAACCCTAAACCCATCACGAGAAAGGCATCAGGGACGGCCCCTTGAAGTGTTGATGTCGGCGGGGCTTGCGAAGGCCTGGTGTTCGGAAGCCGCCAGGCAGTTTTGGCGCAAGTTGGGGCTCTTGGAGAGGTGTCACCCTAAACCCTAAACCCTAAACCCTAAACCCTAAACCCTAGACCCTAGACCCTAAACCCTAAACCCTCGGGCCCTAAACCCGAAGCCCTAAGCCCTAAACCCACAAACGCTTCGCGGAAGGACTTGGTCGACAACAAAACCCAAGCCCCAAAATGCTCAACCCCAAACCCAAAACCACCCGAAACCCACAACCCTACAACCCTACAGCCCTACAACCCTAAAACCCTAGAACCCTAAACCCTAAAACCCTAAAACCCCAAAACCCTAAAACCCTAAGACCCTAAAACCCTAAAACCCTAAAAACCCTAAAACCCTGAAACAAAACCCCAAAACCCTAAAATCCTAAAACCCCAAAACCCCAAAACCCTAAAACTGCCTAAAACCCTAAAAACCCTAAAACCCTAAAACCCTAAACCCTAAAACCCTAAAACCCTAAAAACCCTAAAACCCTAGCCCTAAACCCTAAACCCTAAACCCTAAACCCATTCCCTGCGCAGGAGGGGCCTGTCGAAGCAGTCTAAGGCCGGCTCCAGGTCTTCCTTCCTGAAACCAGCTCCTTTTCGGGCGTTTAGGGTTTAGGGTTTAGGGTTTAGGGTTTAGGGTTTAGGGTTTAGGGTTTAGGGTTCAGGGCCGAAGTCATTCCCGCAACCGTCTGGGGATTCCCGATTGCGTGTTGATGTTTGTCATGGCTCGCTCGGGCAGTTGTTCTTGGGGATGCTCCGTCGCTTCTTCTTGCTTTTTGGTATCCATTGGGCTTGTAAACCCTGAACCCTAAACCCTAAACCCTAAACCCTAAACCCTAAACCCTAAACGGTAGTGTCATGCAAGTGTTCAGGGTTTAGGGTTTAGGGTTAAGGGGGTTTAGGGGTTTAGGTGAACTCCAAAACCAAAGTTCTAAATCATGGATGGCCAGCTGGGTGGGGAGAAGGGAGTTGCGACAGATCAGCCTAAAGACACTCCTTGGCATAAGAAGGGGCTGCAAGGGGTAAGGACAGGATAAGACTCACCATCCCCTCCTTAAACCCCGAACCCTAAACACCTCCATAAACTTTGAAACCTACACCCTAGACCTAAACCCTAAACCCTAAGCACCCTATTGCGGAAACTCGGGCTGCTTTTGGCGGGGTGAATCCCTAAGCCCTAAACCCCTCACCCTAAACCCAAACCCTAGACCCTAAACCCTAAACCCTAAACCCCAAAAGGCGGGAATACGGGGTACTTCTGGGCATCTTAGGAGGGAGGCCTCTCGCTTGCTTGATGGCCGCCTTGATCCACGTTGGGCCCTGGGTGCCTGAGGTTTAGGGTTTAGGGTTTAGGGTTTAGGGCTTAGGATTTAGGGTTACTTGGGATTTAGGGCTTAGGATTTAGGGATGACTGCAAGCAAACTCTAGTGTCCATGCTCATGGTCTAAATTGCAGGAGCTGCACCGCAATGTCCCAGGCTCAGTTTACAATCGAGGGCTTAGGCATAGGCTTTGGGCTTTGGGCTTAGGGTTTAAGGGTTTGAGGGTTTGAGGGTTTAAGGGCTTAAGGGCTTAAGGGTTTAAGGGTTTAAGGGTTTAAGGGTTTAAGGGTCTAAGAGCTGAAGGGCTTAGTTTAGGGGGTTAGCGGCTTGGTGTTTTGCAAGATAAGAGGTTTCGGGTTTCGATCCTGTGTCTTCATCTGCAATCCTAAACTAGCACCAAGTTCGACACGTTAGCAGGGTTTATTGGGTTTAGGGTTTAGGATTTAAGGTTTGGGGTTCAGGGTTTACTTTACTTTACGTACATAGGCAATTGGGGACACAAGTAGGGTTTTTGTAGGCCCCCTACGTGTGCCTCGACTTGTTGAAGGATGCCGGCACACATCCCTAAAGATATATAGCAGAAGCCCAGAAACCATTCTATAGCTGCCACCAAGTCCAAGTCAACGCAGGCTCCCGAAAGCTATATATCCCAAAGGGTTTAGGGTTTAGGGTTTAGGGTTTAGGGTTCCCCAAACCGCTAACCCAAAAAACAAACCCTAAGCCTAAAACCCTAAGCCCCGAAAGGGCCCAAACCTGTACCCACCATGCTAGTCTCACCCTATACAACGTTGTATACTGGCGGGGTGGGGGGGGGGGGGGGGGGGGGGGGGGTTTGGGCTGTCTAGCGATGGGGATGGGAAGGATCAAGCTCCCCCTCAGCTCTAGACCCAAACCCCAAAACCCTACACCCAGAACCCTCAACCTCTAAGGCCCAAGCCGCAGGTCAACGAACCGTACAGGGTCAGACGAGTATTGGAGATCGGCTTTTCTCCAAAACCCTAAACCCTAAACCCTAAACCCGAAACCCGAAACCCTCATCCCTAAGGGCCCTGTCCACCGCACAACTGGGGTGGGTTGGGGGGGGGGGGGGTTCATGGGGGGTTCGGCTGTAGGGTTAGGGGTGAAAAACTGGGGGTTCTTATGAGTAGGGTAACTTGGGCTCTAACTGGTTGTGACACTGTTAGTTGAGGGTTATCAAAACAAGATCTTGCAACTCTTCATGAGCCTGTGAGAAGTACAGGAAACAAGATTCCCATGACTTCATACCCTAAGCCCTAAACCCCTAAACGCCTAAACGCCTAAACCCTAAACCCTAACCCTGAACCCTAACATGGTTTCCTAGGGGTTCAGCCCGTCGAAGTTGAAGATGAATTTCGTATATCAACCCCCAGAAAAGATGGGCGCATCTCCTTAGACTGGGTGCTTCGGTGGATTCGGAAAACCAGGCTGAGCTAGTTTAAGTTCATATGTTCGAAGATACGGCTGTCCATTTTTTCCACACCAAACTACCCCTAAACCCTAAACCTTAAACCCCAAACCCTAAACCCCAAACCCCAAACCCTAAACCCTAACCCTCCCCCCCCCAGGCCAGGGGACAAGCTCTCATGGTAGAGACCTTGGAGGCAACAATGGCCCCAAAGAGTGTCCACCGGGAGAGGAGCCGGCCTTTAGGACCACAAGGGTTAGGGCTTAGGGTTTAGGGTTTAGGGGTTAGGGTTTAGGGTTTAGGGTTTAGGGTTTAGGGTTTAGGGTTTAGGGTTTAGGGTTTAGGGTTTAGGGTTTAGGGTTTAGGTTTTAGGGTTTAGGGTTTAGAGAGTTTAGGGTTTAGGTTTTAGGGTTTTGGGTTTAGAGAGTTTAGGGATTAGGTTGCTGACGGTCCTGGGCTTGGGTCCGTAGTTGACGGATTTCGAGCCTAGCGTTTAGCCAGCAAGGCCCTCACAGGCAAAAACAAAACAACAAAACCAGCAAAAGAACAACAGAAACAGCAACAACAACAAAAACAACAAACACAGCAAAAACAGCAAAAACAGCAACAAAAACGACAACACCAAGAACTAGGCCTTCCCGGATGAAGCCCCCAGCTCCAGTTTGCATGAGCAGAAGGCTGGCCACTTAGGCGGTTGCCCAAATTCCCCAACTTTCAATCCCAAAGCCCCAAAACCCTCCAACGAACCCCAAAACACCCAAAACCAACCCCACAAGGCCCAAAACTGAAAGGGTTTAGGGTTTAGGGTCTAGGGTTTAGGGTTCAGGGCTTAGCCCTGTGCGCCTTCCAGCATCTCACAGCGTTCGCGAAAGCGGCCGGCCAGGTCGGAATTGACGGTGTCCCGCAGGGCCTGTTGCTCGGATGGCTCGAAACTGAGGGTGTAGAGTCTATAAACCTAAACTACTATGTAGTGTAGGGTTTAGGGTTTAGGGTTTAGGGTTTAGGGTTTGGGGTTTCGGGTTTGGGGTTTGGGGTTGGGGTTTAGGGGCGCTCGAAAGGAATCCTGAGGGTTTAGAGTCTAAAACCTAAACCTCCTATCACATCCCTGTACCAGAAACCTCCTTAGGCCTGTGCAACACAAGATGTAGGGTTAGTGCTCCCTAAACCCTAAACCCTAAACCCTGAACCCTAAACCCTAAACCCTAAACCCCAAACCCTAAACCCTAAACCCCATGGTGCTGTAGAGTTTGAGGCAGTGCGGGGCCGGGATGAGAAAAGGCCACATGAGCCCAAAACCCTACAAGCCCTGAGCCCCACCGGCTTGCAACAGCCTAAAGAACCCTACCCTGAACCCTAATTAAACCAAACCCGAAAGCCTGAACCCTAAACCCCAACCCCGAAACCCTATACCTGGAAGCGCGTTTCAACTTTTTTGGCAGGGCCATGGTTCACTCCTCCGGTTTAGGGCGTTTAGGCTCTGGAAGCTCAGGTAGCGGTAGAGCTTGCAGTTCGTTTGCAGTCTTAAGGTTTAGGGTTTAGGGTTTACGGTTCAGGTTTAGTTAGGGTTTAGTCGTTGAGGGTCTTGGGACACCTCAAGCTGTCATCCGTGCTTTGGTATTCTTGTACGATCTTTTCTCCAAAGGCACGTCACGAATCCGGCAGGAAAATGGGCACCACCGTCGTATGTGCGGCAGTGCTGGCAGTAGGTACCATGAAGCCCACATATATTCAACCAGAGCCTGTCATGACTATAACTCCCATACAGTAAGGCCACACAAGGGTTGTGTACGCTCTAAGGTCTGCAAAGAGTTTCAACCTGAAATGGCGGCTGTAAGTGGACTAATGCTCTGCGCGCATCTCAGCCTACCCTCAGGTCCTCATCCGGCTGTGTCTCAGGCAGGATGAGGTTGATCACCGTGACAAGGGCAGCGAAGAAGCCCAAGACCAGCGGAAAGTTGTAGAGTGGGCACACCTGGGTTGCCCAGTAGCCTAGGACACAAAAGGGTGCCCTTGTTTGCTCAAAGGGGTTTATAAGGGAACCTAAACCCCCCAAAACGGGAACAAGTGCACTACTGGGCAGCCCAGACACCAGGAACACAGGCTCACAGAGGGGGTAGATGACGTAGATGAGGGGCTTGGTGCACAGCTCCGTGCCGTAGAGTGGGCCCTTGGCGGGGACCGTTGCCTCAGTAGGCAAAGAATCAACGACCCCCTAAACCCTAAACCCTAAACCCTAAACCCTAAACTCTAAACCCTAAACCCTAAACCCTAAACCCTAAACCCCAAACCCTAGCCCTAAACCCTAAACCCTAAGCGGTGGCCTCGGCGGGCAAGGAGGAAGCCATTGAGACGAGCGCACCCATGGCTGCCGGAGCAGCCGCCTCGAGGCCCCTGTTGGCCTTCGGCTGCACGAAGACGGGGGCCACAAACTGCCAACCTTACTTCTCCGAGGGTTTAGGGTTTAGGGTTTAGGGTTTAGGGTTTAGGGTTTAGGGTTTAGGGTTTAGGGATGAAGAAACCTAAGCATTCACTTTTTCTTACGACATACGCATAGAAAACCCGAAAAAAATGAAGTTCAACTATTTAGCTGAGCAACAAGCCATCAACGCCACTGCACTCAAAGAGAGGCTCATCACCAAGCTGCGTCCACGTCGGGCCATGTCTGCTAGGCTATTGGGAGCTGCAAATCGATCTTTGCTTTGGCTTGAGCTGGGCGAGCCTCTGGCACACAACCTTGCTGTGCCTTTTTAGACGTTTCAATCATGGTGGTCGCCCCCTGGACGTTTGAAACGGTTTCATCCATAGACTGCGTTGAACAGATACGGGACGTGTCCTACCCTTGATTTAGGGTTTAAGGTCAAGATGGCATGAGCAGCGCTGCTGGCCATCCTACAGTCAGGTGGTTTAGGAATCCTCCAACTTCCGAACCTTCTACCCAAAGGGCACAGGCACTCTGACAACGGAATCAGAAACCCTAAATCCTAAACCCCTAAACGCCCTAAACCCTAAGCCCGTAAACCATAAACCCCTTTAGGGGCCGAAGACTTTAAATGGACTTTTGCTTCGTGGATTCCGGCACCCGAGTTTAGGGTTTAGGGTTAGGTTTAGGGTTTAGGGTTTAAGTTCTACGGTTTAGGGTTTAGGGTTAAGACACCTCCTTACATCAGGGTAGAAGCTCCCCTCCTCAACCCTAAACCTAAACCCTAAACCCTAAACCCTAAACCGTAAATCCTACTGGTTCTGTAGGGTTTCGGGCTCGGGGCTCGGGGTATGTTATGTAACCTTGCAAGGCGGGGACGGCCTCGTCCAGTGTGCGAAGCTCTGCCAGGGATGCATTCCGCGCTAGTGCCTCGAAGACAGATATGTGCCAGGGCTTAGTGGCTTCGGTTCAGGGTTTATAGGGTTTAGGTTCAAGGTTTAGGGTTTAGGGTTGGGGTTTGGGCCTGGGGTTTAGGGTTTATGGGGTAAGGTTGTAGGGAAAAGGGTATAGGGCTCGGGTTTCTCAAGCTTGCATGGTAACTTCCATGTGCTCTTTCTGGGTTTAGGGTGTAGGCTTCGGGTTTAGGGTCTAGGGCTCAGACGTGAAGTTGGGGTTTAGGGTTTAGGGTTTAGGGTTTGGAATTGTTTGGGGGTGTGTGGATGCAGGCAGGAACAGCTGGATGCGAAATCCGACAATGCTCAGGCGCCGGGTGTCCTGCAAGAAATCGGGGAATGGGCGTAATTACTTTTTTTGGAAACCCAAGCTTAAGCCCTCAGCCCTCAGCCCTAAGCCCTGAGCCCTAAGCCCTAAGCCCTAAACCCTAAACTTTAGGATGGCATGGGGTTGGCTCATTCTATGGGGCTGAGGAGCTCTTGCGGCACATTGAAGGTTTGCGGTTCAGGGTGCTTTGGGCTTTCTATGTTTAGGACCCTGGCCTTTAGGAGATGGCGAGTTGGAGAAGTTGTGTGTAGGGTTTAGAGCAGAACTCTTTTTATGTTTATAGGGTTCAGTGTTTAGGGTTTAGGGTTTAGGGTTCAGGGTTTAGGGTTCAGGGTTTAGGGTTCAGGGTTTACGGGCAGCCTCCTCAACTTTGCGGTCTGCCATCGCACGGTGCTCCTGGAAGCAGCATGACTACCAGCCTTGGGGGACGATGCAAGGCTTATGGTTTCGGGTTGGGGGTTTGGGTTACAGAGCACATAGAGTATGGTATAGAGCAACCCCCTTCCCCTGAAAACCCCCCCCCCCTCCCCGCCTCTCTGCCCGAAACCCGAAACCCAAAACCCTAAATCCTAAACCCTAATTCAAAGATTCAGTCTGGTCCTAGAAAACTGGGGCCCCCAAACCCTACACCCTAACCTAGGAGCAAAAAGGGTGCCCTTTTTGGTTTAAGGGGGCTTACAAGGGAACCGAAACGCTAGAAAAATCAAGAATGGCCTGCTCTGGGTCCTATAGTCTCCCTCACACACACACACACACGTGCAACTGGTTCTTCTTTCGGTTGGGACTTTGGATTGGCTTTAGGGTTGCAACAAGACAAGAAGACTTCAACTCATCATCGCCGGTGGGGATGCCGCGGTCTGACTCCGGTATTCGGGTCCGCTAAACCCTACACCCTAAACCCTAGACCCTAAACCCTAAACCCCTAAACCCCTAAACCCCTAAACCCCTAAAACCCTAAAACCCCTAAACCCTACACCCTGCATGTGCCCAAGCCGGACGTTGGCGGAATCAACCAAAGTCCTCCACTTGAAGCACGCCCACAGCTTGCTGCCGCAGAATGGACCACTTAGTGTCCTTGGCAGGGTTTGTAGGGTTCATAGAGTTTAGGGTCCACGTGAGATGAGGTGTTTAGGGTCCATGATATGAGGTTTAGGGTTTCGGGGGGTTTGTATGAAGGGGTTCAGGACCTTCAGTGAGGGCGGGGGGGGGGGGGGGGGGGAGGTACTAGTATGTACCCCCTGACAGCTGAAATCTCCCCAAGCCTGCAAAACTCTAAAAGGCTCCAGCTTGGGCTTTTCAGACACTCAACCCTAAACTCTGAACGACCCCTCAAAAACCTCCAGACCGCCCGACCCCCAGAGCCCCAGCCGCAAGTCAAGCATCCGGCATGTGAGGGTTTAGGGTTTAGGGTTTAGGGTTTAGGGTTTAGGTTTAGGGTTTAGGGTTTAGGGTTTTGGGTTCAGGGCTCAGGGTTGCAGCGACAAGCCAGGGCACATTGAAGGACCAGTCGTCTCTCTCGAAAGACACTGTTGCCAGGACGTAGGTGAGCCTCAAAGGCGTGTTGGTCCGGTTTACCCCTCAAGCCTGACGAAGTCATCCGTTCAACTCTCACGCCAGAGCCTTTAGCCCTAAACCCGAAACCCTATAAACCCTAAACCCTAAACCCTAAACCTTAAACCCTAAACCCTAAACCCTAAACCCTAAACCCTAAACCCTAAACCCTCCCTTCCCCGAATCAGTCCTCCAAAATGTTGTGATTCAACCATTAGAGGCTGATGTTGGCAGCAGCTGCTTTCATGAGCCCTTTTCTTGGAGGCAAAGCACACCGTGCAAACCTTGGGCACTCCCTAAACCCTAAACCCTAAACCCTAAACCCTAAACCCTAAACCCTAAACCCTAAACCCTAAACCCTAAACCCTAAACCCTAAACCCTAAACCTTGGGCACTCAACCGCTGTGTCCTTTGCTGGGGCCAGGACGACAACTCATGACCGTGCTTGGCGCTTTTTGCTCCTCTTGCGGCACTACGATGTTGGCCTTAATAATTGAAAATTGCAGTAGGTTTTGCATAGGGTTTGGGCGGCTTTCATGGGGTATTCATTCTTTATATAAGGACCATGAGGGAATACTAGTCTTAATTCTTCTGACTCCGATGTTAAAGTCGTACAGTTTAGGCGACGGTTCAGGGTGAAGGGCTGATTGGTTTTTGGATGAAGGTAAGGCATCAGCGGATCACGCACGTTAAGCCTCATAGTCTCCAAACGCAAGGAGGTTTGGCGACTTGCCCCGGGTTTAGGGTTTGGGGTTAGGGTTTAGGGTCTATCAAAGTCTTTGGGGGGCGGGGCGGGGGGGTTTGGAACACTCGACCCCAAGCTCTTAAGGGCTAAAGGGCTTGGAGTTGTGGGGTGTCTAATTCAGGGTTGCCCCCAAACCCTGAACCCTGGTCCCTAAACCCTTAATCCTCAACCCTCCTTTCCCAATTGAAGTTCCTGTATTTCTCCTCTTGTCTTTTGTAGGGAAAGGCTGGGGTGCGAACTGGTGCACCAGCGAAGGTTTGCACCCCAGACCCTGCACCCTCGATCCTGAACACCAAACCCTAAACCCAGAACCCTAAACCCTGAACCCTCAACCATAAGGTCCTACTAGCCCCTCTCTATTACTACCCGTCTGGGTTCCCCCATAGTTAAGGCTTCTTAGGGATAACTAGGCCTAACCGAGTCATGTAAGTGTGGGAACCTAGGGGGGGTAGCCCTAAACCCTAAACCCTAAACCCTCTAAACCCTAAACCCTAAACTCTAAACCCTAAACCCTAAACCCGAAACCAGTACAGAGGGGGGTAGTAGGGAAACCCATGATGAGGTCCTGCTTCCTCCGCAACGATTTGGGCTACGGCCTGGCGCACCTCGGCCTCGAGGAGTTTCCGAAGATAGGGCTTTTGCGGTTTAGGGAAATTCGGGTTTAGGGTTTAGCGCTTAGGTTTTAGGGTTTAGGGTTTAGGGGAATTCGGGCAACGCTGCACCCTAAACCCTCCTGCCGCATTAAGGAGTTAGGGACGTGGCGTACGGTCTCAAACCCCCCTAAACTGCGAGTATCCTCTGCCCAACCCTTCAACCAGTGAAGTCTCTGATTTCCAAGTGGCATCCAACGGGAGCCATCTAAACCCTAAACCCTAAACCCTAAACCCTAAACTTCCCTAAACCTCTAAGCCCTCCTGAAGCTGGTTCCAGCTGTGCCCATGGTGTTGGGTCGAGGTTCAAAGAGCTTGGGGCTTAGGGCTTGGTGTAGCCCCCAAACTGCTAAATTTCAATATTCACCGAAATTAAGGAAATGAAGAGAAACTAGCTGAAATTAAGGATTCTGCTTTGGGAGACTATTCCAAAAGACAATGAAACCAGCATCTGTCGAAATGCTTTGAAACAACAATGTAAACCCAACGCAACACGATAAACTTAGCATGTCGACATGTTCCTTGGGGCTTGGGGGAGGGGGGGAACCAAGAGCAAGGATGGCTGTTTCCCCTCATCGTCCATCTGTACGTCTAGCTGAAGCTAAGGACGGAGGGCAGGGAGGGAGGAAGAGATGGAAGGAGGGAGGGGAGGGAGGGAGGGGGGGATGGAAGGAGATAAATAGAAACAGAGAGAGTCTGACGTCAGAGAAAAAGGAGAGAGAGAGAGAGAGAGAAAGAAAGACAGGAAAAAAGAAAGAAAGAAAGAAAGAACTAAAGAAAAATCAAAAGAAAGAAAAGAAAGAAATAAAGCAAGAAGGAAACAGACAGAGAGATAGAGAGAGAGCAGCCCAATATGTCCACACTTGTCAGTCAGCACTGATAGAGTCGGGTCGTCGCCAGAGTCGAAACACTGACTCTCTGAGTCACTGAGTAAACTGAGCAAGCCCAGCCCCTAACCCTCCTAAGCATGACTGCCCTACACCCCTACTCACCCTCCCGCACTCCACCCAGCCAACGACCGCCCCCCTGCCACCCCCACCACCCCACCCCCGCACCCCGCGCAGCGGAGAAAAAAAAGTTGTGGGTTCAAAGGGCAACCAGTGGGGGGGGTGGTGGGGGCGGAAGGGGGAGAGAGGGAATAACAGAGAGGCCAGCCCCGCGCAGCGGAGGAAAAAATTGTGGGTTCAAAGGGCAACCAGTGGGGGGGGGGTCGGAAGGGGGAGAGAGGGAATAACAGAGGCCAGCCCCGCGCAGCGGAGAAAAAATGGCCGATTGGGGGCCGAGACCTGCCTGATTCCTTAATTTCAGCTCCGGTTTTTTTTCATAAAAAAAGAAACTGAAATTAAGAACTGGGTTACATGGCCACAATTCCTGACACCAGCTGCAAAATCCTTAATTTCAGCTCCGTTTTTATATAAAAAAACGGAGCTGAAATTAAGGAATTTTGTTTCCTGAGTTTCAACGGTCCAAGTGGTGATTCCTTAATTTCAGCTCCGTTTTTTTTATAAAAAAAAGAAACTGAAATTAAGAACTGGGATACATGGCCACAATTCCTGGCACCAGCTGCAAAATCCTTAATTTCAGCTCCATTTTTTATAAAAAAATGGAGCTGAAATTAAGGACTTTGCAGCTGGTGCCAGGAATTGTGGCCATGTATCCCAGTTCTTAATTTCAGTTTCTTTTTTTATAAAAAAAACGGAGCTGAAATTAAGGATTTTGCGGCTTGGATCAGGATTTGTGGCCATGTAACCCAGTTCTTAATTTCAGTTCCGTTTTTTATAAAAAACGGAGCTGAAATTAAGGATTTGGCAGCTGGCGCCAGGAATTCTCAGGAAACAAAATTCCTTAATTTCAGCTCCGTTTTTTTATAAAAAAACGGAGCTGAAATTAAGGGCACCCCCCCCCGCGGACCCCCCACCCCCCGCGGACCCCCCACCCCCCACTGCGCCCAGCCCCCCTCCTCCCCCCTCCTCCCCCCCACCCCCTCCCCCCCCCACCCCGCACCCCGTGGCAACTCCGAATTTCCACGGCCAGGCGGTGATTCCTTAATTTCAGCTCCGTTCTTTTATTAAAAAAAATGAAACTGAAATTAAGAACTGGGTTACATGGCCACAATTCCTGGTCCAAGCTGCAAAATCCTTAATTTCAGCTCCATTTTTTTATAAAAAAATGGAGCTGAAATTAAGGACTTTGCAGCTGGTGCCAGGAATTGTGGCCATGTATCCCAGTTCTTAATTTCAGTTTCTTTTTTTATAAAAAAACGGAGCTGAAATTAAGGATTTTGCAGCTGGTGTCAGGAATTGTGGCCATGTAACCCAGTTCTTAATTTCAGTTTCTTTTTTTATGAAAAAAAACCGGAGCTGAAATTAAGGAATCAGGCAGGTCTCGGCCCCCAATCGGCCATTTTTTCTCCGCTGCGCGGGGCTGGCCTCTGTTATTCCCTCTCTCCCCCTTCCGACCCCCCCCCACTGGTTGCCCTTTGAACCCACAATTTTTTCCTCCGCTGCGCGGGGCTGGCCTCTCTGTTATTCCCTCTCTCCCCCTTCCGCCCCCACCACCCCCCCCACTGGTTGCCCTTTGAACCCACAACTTTTTTTTCTCCGCTGCGCGGGGTGCGGGGGTGGGGTGGTGGGGGTGGCAGGGGGGCGGTCGTTGGCTGGGTGGAGTGCGGGAGGGTGAGTAGGGGTGTAGGGCAGTCATGCTTAGGAGGGTTAGGGGCTGGGCTTGCTCAGTTTACTCAGTGACTCAGAGAGTCAGTGTTTCGACTCTGGCGACGACCCGACTCTATCAGTGCTGACTGACAAGAGAAAATGTGGACGTATTGGGCTGCTCTCTCTCCATCTCTCTATCTGTTTCCTTATTGCCTTCTTTCTTTCTTTTCTTTATTTCTCTTTTTCTTTCGTTCGTTCCTTCTTTTGTTCGTTCTTTCGTTTTTAGGTATGGTACCGATGCCGAAGACTCCTTGAAACAGCGCTGCTCAATGGTAGGCTCAGGCACTCGAGCCAGCTTTTCACAGCTGCAATCATTGACATCAATCTAAAATCTGATCTCTCTCTGCAACGACGAACTGAAATCAGCCCACCTGAAAAAAAACCTTAATTTCAGCCCGTTTTTTTTCTGCAGTGAATTTAGAAATTTAGCACCCCAAACCCCCAAACACCAAAGTCCCGAACCCCTGAACCCCTAAACTCTACACCCAAAGTCTAAACCCTAAACCCTAAACTCAAGGCCTAGGCCGCCCCCCCTGCAGTTGGGGGGGCGCCTAAGCCCCTCGACCTCGATGGCGCAAGCCGACCCAGGCGTTCGCCCGCCTCCCACAACTCGGAGGTCGGTAGCACCCACGATGGGCCCGGTAGCGGAGCAGGTTTTTTCTGGGAAAAGTCTTCCCCTAAACCCCAGCATCCAAGCTCGTGCGCCCCAGCCTAGGCAACCCCGGATCCCTCACCGCAGCGTGCCCAAGGACCAGGGGCCTCAGGCCAGGCCAGGCAGGGTGCTCAAAAATTGGAAATTGGCCTTTTTCTATAGCTTTGGCCTGGCCCCCCTAACCCCCCGACCCCCCTTCTGGCCGCCCCCCCTTTTTGCCCGCCCTGGTTCCGTGCTTGTCTCTGGGTGCCTGGCCCCACCCCTCGCTTCGAGAACTGAATAAGTTTTTAGAAGTGGGCTGTTGTCTGAGTTTATGCCTAAACCCAACGGAATAGGTTTGGGTGGCTTTGCTGCCTTGGACGGCGTGGGGTGGGAGAAAAATGTTCGATGGCCCTCCACAATCAGGCCAAAGCTGCTCTTCACACCTCACGAAGCTTTCGAGCTTGTTCCGAAACCTAACCTTCACAGCATCTACGCCCTATCACAGCAAACCCTAAACCCTAAACCCTAACCCTAAAGCCTAAACCCTAAACCCTTAACCCTTAACCCTAAACCCCCCTCCCGGCAGCTTCCAGCCTCCGACAAAATCGAAGGGGACGGCCCGGTGGGCCGAAGGACACGTCCTCAGGGGCTAGGGTTTAGGGTTTAGGGTTTAGGGTTTAGGGTTTAGGGTTTGGGGTTTGGGGTTTGGGGTTTAGGGTTGAGGGTTCAGGGTTCAGGGTTCAGGTTCAGGGTTCAGGGTTCAGGGCTTAGGGGGTTTAGGGTTCAGCAGCTCCGGATCGAGCAGTGTTATGGTAGTGTTATATATACGGCTCTGATATACTACCCACCCACACAGAGAATCTCACAACATTAAGAAAAATATAAAGTATCCTCATACAGCAAAGTTCTACTCAACGAAGGTTACGACTACGGAACAATTCGTTCTAAAACTTCCACATAGCGTCACAGAAAGAAGATGAGTATTACAAGAGAAAGAGTGGGCCCTGAAACCCTAAACCCGAGGGGTGGGAGGGGGGGGGCAGGGAAGGGGGGGGTTAGCGTTTAGGGTTTAGGGTGTTAGGGTTTCAGGGTTCAGGGCTTAGGGGTTCGGGGTTTGGGGTGTAGGGTTGTAAGGGTTTAGGGTATTCAGGGTTTAGGGTTTGGGGTTTTGCGGTTGAGGGCTTCGTGCTTGAACGGTTTACGCGAATCTAGGGGCTGGTGGACAAGAGCACCCTAAACTCGAGGGTTCTTGTCAGGCTGCTGGTGTCATCCGTTTCCGAATTGCGGGGGTTGCGGCACATGTAGGTCTTTGGCTTAGGAAATATTTGACCGGTAAAGCCCCATAAGCCCTCTAAATCCTCAACCCCCTAAACCCTAAACCCTAAACCCTAAACCCTAAACCCTAAACCCTAAACCCTAAACCCTAAACCCTAAACCCTAAACCCTACATTCACTATTGGGATGCAAGGCTTCCTCACAACAAATAGCTCTCAGGCATCTAATGGGCTTTGCACAAAAGGAAGTCCTACTGGAACTACTCCCAAAGTTGCTTCCTCCCACAGGAACCCTGTTTTAAGTGTAGAAGCCCATGTTCATGCCTGCACTCTTTGGTTTGGGGTTCAAGTTTTTTTTTTGGGGGGGGGTAATTATTGTGTTTTTTTTTGTTTGGCGGGGGGGGGGGGTAAAGAGGGTTCCCAACCCTAAACCAATTCAGAGCTTTGATGGTTCGCGGGGTTTCCCCTACTTACCATAAAGAAAAAACATGTGATGTTTGAAAACAGGAATCACTGCAGGATACATGAGGAATACAGAGACCCTGGCACCTTTATTCCTACTAGCCCCAAACACAACACTAAACAGACTCCGAACCCTTTCAGGGCTTTAGACTCTGAACCCGTGCCCCAAAAAGAGTTGAGGGCTTATGACCTAAACCCTAAACCCTAAA